CCGCGATCGACGAAACAACCACTCGATGTCCAAGTAATAATTATAATTGTGTGTTTATAATAGCTCAAAACGGCAAATATTCGAGTCACAATCCAGTCAAGGAACCTAACTACGGCATATTTGCCTCAGATGGCTTTATTGATACACATAGTTGAAGAATCGACAGTGAAACTTTTTTCAGTTGAAAATTTCAAAAATAACAAAATTCGATTTGAAACTCAAGTTTCGCCGGTGGATTTCTAACAGCTATACTTGAACCTGTAACGAAAGGAGAACCTCTTCAATTACTGTGAACAAACAATTTCAGTTATCCGTTAATGGCTATATAACATTCGCAACCGTGCTGGATCAAGGTCCAACAATCAATGTTGGAGTTGAAAGTACAGACTGGCCGAAACAACAAGATCCGGCTATGATTGCGCCGTATTTGTGTAAACAACAGGTATGAATGAATAAGTAAACAATCACTCGAAGAGAATTTTCGAGAGACGGGGAGAAAAGGGAGAAATACAGAGTGCGCAACGAAACAATTATATCAAGATGGATCAGAAATTTGTTTGTTATAATTCCAAACGAAATTCAAAGATGGCTGTATTCTACAAAAAAAGCTTTTGTTTTACAACGATGATGCACATGAAAAAGACCGTTGTCACGTGGTTCAACTCTAAGTTGAATTTGTCATTATAAGTGGAACTGATCAATAGAACGAGAACGCTATTGTAGATAATGCAAAATCCTAGTCCGGGGATGCGAACCGGTGTTTATTATCGTCTGGTTCTTCGGCAGTCGTTGTTTGGCCGTGGCTCAGGTAGCAATATGAATTTCGGTGGTACAATGCAACGGTCGAGTTTCTTTGGTCAGTCGGCGACTAAGGTGAGTGGTGCGGTGCCAATGAAACGAGCGTCATAATCAAGCGACTCTGTTTAGGGTCGAGCCCGTTTAAGAAAAAAAAAATTTTACAAAGTATTTCATCGAGTGTTCACAGAGTATTTGCAACGATCGAATCTTCTTGATAATAATGATGAGCTGTAGGCATCTATCTCATCAATAATGCACAATTAGCCGAACACTTTCGGACGCTATGCTTTGCTTTCATTTTACCAACTAATCAAGGATCACTCAATGGAATTGAGCAATCCAACGATCACTAGGTGAGAAAACCTAGATCAACAACTAAACATGGAAATAACCACAACGAATTGCGTAATAAACTGCTGACTCACTAAGGCAACAAAACTGCCAGCTCGTTGATTATTTACATATTACATTATGAAATACATGCATGTTTACTTTTTTCGGCCGAAATATTTGTTAGAGCTGTTCTATTGACTTTTCCGTCATATGTTGCGTTATCCTGTGAATATGCGAATTAACTTTTGAACTTCTTGAAATCAGTCCTGACTGTTCTATGGTTAAGGAAACATTCCGACGTCTTCTAAATACCTCACTCTTTCATCAAATTCTCCTTCCATTGCTTACAAATAACACTCACAATAAAAATGGATCAATACAAGACACCTACTGGATCATGTCATACAAATACTTTCTCAGCACTGGATTTTTCAAAAGCACTATTTCATAGCGAAAGTTGCTGATCACTTGTAAGCACCGATTTGGAGTGCGAGAACTTGATGACAAATTGATATTTTTGAGGCATGTCCAAGCACGTCAGATTCATACGTTCACTGCGACCAATCGAGTGATTATTTCCTCGACGAAATGATGCGATGGCTCATGGGTATGTCGTCGTGATCATTTTGAATCAGTACTTCGAGATTCTTAGTTGTCAAGGAAACATTCACTCACTGAAGAAGAATTATTTTTTTGAATCACTTCCGGAACTTATGATTGTTTTGAGTTAATGTAAACAAGAATTTGTAGCAAGAAGCCTGTGAGATGACTCATCGTTATTTCCGAATATTATAGTAACCAATTCATCAGTGTTATATTAACGAATTCACCGTCTATTAGAGACGATGTACTGAGGGAGCGAACAAATATTTTTGTTTACATTGAAGAAAAGAGGGAATGAAGGAGATGAAGCCAGCGAAACTGTTTTGATCACTTCGATTTAGAGATCATAGTCTTTGTTTTGGTAGGGTAGACAGTACATTATGCATTGAGGCAATTGACTCATCAGATTGGAATTTGAACAATCTTACGGAAAGTCATAGATTACTTCAAGGAAGCTATTTAGCTACGTGATGAATAAACTGGACTTCATAATATTGACATAAG